GAATTATAGCTATGTGATTGGAGAGAAGGAGATATGTACAAGAGATCACATAAAGGTAAAAACAACAAGACTTAGCAACTGATAGAATATATGGGTATTCAAGAAATTTAAAAATTAGTAAATACATAATAATTACAAGTTCATCCTCAGAGAAAGAAAAAGAAAAGAATGGCTTGACCAGAAGGGCTCTAAGAGTAGATGGAAGAAAGGAAGCAGATTTTTAAAATTGAAATTACAGCTTCTGAGGAGCACATTAGAAGACAAAAATATTATATCATTAGGTGAAAAACCTCATGCAAAGAGTGGGCTCTCTACAAAAATACACTAAAGATAAAATTTATTTTGATTCTATTTATTTAATACATTAATGATTCTTTTAGAAAATAAGAAATACTTAAAAAAGAGAGGGCATCAAAAACAAAAAAAAATGTAAGGTACCGATTAACAAAAACAAATTACCTGGAAAACAGTTTGAGGAGAGATAATTTAAGAATTATGAGACTAACTAAAAAAGATTACCAAACAGAAAACTTGGATGATATATTTCAAGAAGTCATACAATAGAACTGTCTAGAATTATTACACCAAGAAAGAAAGATTAAAGTCGAATCCACAGATCACTATCCTAAAGAAAAACTAAATTGAAAATACTCAGAAATGTCAGAGCCAATGTCCAGAATGTCCAGGTTTAAAACAACAATAAAGGCAGTTAGGTGGCGCAGTGGATAGAGCACCGGCCCTGAAGTCAGGAGGACCTGAGTTCAAATCCAGCCTCAGACCAAACACTTGACACGTAACAGCTGTGTGACCTTGGGCAAGTCACTTAACTCTGATCGCCTCACCACAAAAAATAAATAAATAAATAAAAATAAAATAAAACAACAATAACAACAACTCCAAGCCAAAAATAAAGAGTACAGATCAATTATTTCTAATGAATATTGATGTAAAAATGTTGAATAAAATATTAGCCAAAAGGTTATCACAACATATTAAAAGGATTATCAGACTATACTAAGAATATAAGGCTTGTTCAACTTTAGGAAAACTATAAATAGAATAGATTATATTACTTTTAAAAACAACAAAAATCACATAATTACTATTAAGACATATAATAAAAGATTTTGAAAAAATGTAATGTAAACATTAAAAACATTGTACAAGTTAGGAATAAACTAACTTAACATGATAAACAGTTGCTATCTAAAAGCAAGGGACAACATTTTATGTCATGGAAAAATACTACAGGTCTTTCTAATAAGATTAGGGACAAAGCAAGGAGGATCATTATTATTTAATATGGTTCTAGAAATGCTAACTATTACAATAGGACAAGATAAAGCCACCAGAGGAACAAACATAAGCAAAGAAGAAAATGTTATTGCTATTTGCAGATGATAAGATGGTTTACATCAAGAACTCTAGAGATCCAGTTGCAAATTAACTAAAACAATAATTTTGCTAAATCAACAGACTATAAAATAAAACCACAAAAATAATCAGCCTTTCAGCATATAACTAACAAAATCTTAAAAACGTAACAGAAAAATAAATTCAACTGAAAATAATTACAGGTTGCATAAAATCCTAGGGAATTTATCTACCAAAACACTCTGAGAACTTACAAGAATATAATCTTTATAGAAATAAAGGAAGACTAAAGAATAAAAGAGAAAGCCCCATGTTAATATAATAAAATAACAATACTATTTATATTACAGTGTTTGATAAATTCAAGGACACCAACTACTAGGGTAATAACTCACTACAGAGAACTAGGAGGCACAGTAGATATGCCTGCAGTGAAGAAAAGCTGGATTCAAATCCTCCCTCAGGCATTTAGTAACTGTATGACCCTAGGGAAGTCATTTAACCCTTGTTTGCCTCAGTTTCCTCATCTGTAAAATGGGGATGATAATAGCACCTACTTTCAATCACATTGCTTGGCACACAGTAGGCACTACATAAATGTTAGCTATTATTTTTTGACAAAAATTTCTGGAAGAACTGGAAAGTAGGCTGGCAGAAATTTTATTTAGGCCAGCATCTCACACATAAACCACACTAAGATATCAATGGATGTATCTTAAAGAAATTATAGGAGAAGTGAAGAAAATACTGTTTACAACTCCAGATAAGAAGAGTTCTTAACTAAATAAAGGGCAATTGGTCACAGAAAATAAAATGGATAATTTTGATTACACAAAATTGAAAAGTTTTTGTAAAACAAAATCTAAGCAGTTATAATTAAAATGGAAAGGTACCAGCAGGAAAAACTTTACCGGAAATTTCTTTGATAAAGCACTTATAAAAACTTTATGAACTGGAAAATCATCGACAAACATAAACAAAGGCCAGATAATGAAGAATGTATATGAATGCAAATCCTACAACTTACTCCTTTAAATGTGCATTAAGTTTTTCATGATAGTATCAAAATTGCTTTGCTTGTCTATGTTCTCCCTCTCAATACCGACCCATCTGTTTCGCGTATTTTTAAATGTTTTAGTTATGCTCTTTTTTCTACCACTATTGCTGCCAAAACTTTGTTCATCTTTTTGATTAAAAAAAAAAAACAAAAACAAATCCAAAAAACAAAACAAAAAAAATAATAAAAAAAAACCTAAGTTTTATCGATCTATTCATTGTTTTTTTGCTTTCAATTCTGTTTATCTCTTTTCTGATTTTCAAAATTTCTATTATGGTATTCGGTTTGAATTAAAAAAATTTTGTTGCACTTAATAGTTGTTTAGTTGTTCTTTCTTTTGTTTATGAAAATGTTTAGAGAAATAAAATTGCCCCTAAAGACTGCTCTCAAAAGTATATGTAGTTGTGAATTTCTTTGATGAAATTATTTATTGTTCTATAATTTGTTCTTCAAGCTACTAATTATTAAGATTAAATATATTTTCAATTAAGTACAAGCTGACTCGGAAATACTGACTGTTAATAATGTTTATGGGCAGCTAGGTGGTACAGTGAATAGAGTATTAGGCCTGGAGTCTGGAAGGGCTCATCTTTCTGAGTTCAAATCTGACCTCAGACACTTACTAGCTGTGTGACCCTGGAGAAGTCACTTAACCTTGTTTGTCTCAGTTTCCTCATCTATAAAATGAGCTAGAGAAGGAAATGGCAAACCACTCCAGTATCTTTGCCAAGAAAACTCCCAATGAGGTTACAACAAGTTGGATGCAACTAAGAATGACTGAACTGTGTTCAGGCTCCCATGAAGGAGCTTAAAGGGGAAAACAGAGATTTAGGATTACTTCCTTGAGGATTTTCAGCAATACAGGTTGGGTTCCAGCATAGCCTGTGCTTGATCAACCCAAACAGGCTCTCTCAAAGTTCTCCCCCTTTTCTTTGTGAAGTCACCACTGCCTATATTTGTGCTCTCCAACCCCACATGCTTCTTATAGGTTCCCCTTCTCCAGTTCCAAACATCTTCTATTTGATCTATCAGGAACTGGGTTCCTCTTTGAGTCTGTCTCTTCAATTCAATGAAATGAGTTCTAAAGGTCACCCTGAGGAATGAGTTACTACTCGTTACCCTACTGAGTTGCTTCCTTTCTGATTCACTCAAGAGCCTCATTCATGCCCCATAAAGGGATCATCTCTGGTATGGCCACATTTTACATTTTAATACCTCGTTATTTGGTCCCTTTTCTGTGAGATATATAGCAACCTTTTCAACTAGAGACATCAAATTTTGCTGAAACAGTAAGATTCTCCAAAAGGTAGGACTCATTCATTAGATTATGAGCTATGTACACACAGTATAAGTACCATCAGACTAGAGAAAATATAATATTTTACACTATGATTTTTTAAATTCTAAATTTAACAAACACCAAATAAAACTGGAATTTCCATACACATTATTATTTTATTAGAAACATTACCAACTGTGATTAAAAAACTATTAAGGATATCAGAGACAGAAAGGTCCCACATACACAACAAAATTTATGGAGATAAATTGGAGATAAACAAAATTTATGGCAATAGCAAAAAAGTAGAAACTTCTATTGGGGAATGGCTAGACAAACTGTGATATATTACTGTAATGTGGTAATTATTATGCAATAAGAAATAACAACAGGTGGAGCTGCAGAGAAACTCGAGAAAACTAGTATGAACTAATGAAGAGCAAAAGTAGAATCATGAGAATACACGCAACTAAGACATTCATTTAAATGAAACCAACACTAAAAGACATCCACATACTAGGCAGAGTAGGTGTCTGATAAATGTTTGTTGACTGACTGATTGAACTGATCTTATATGAAATCACTCATCTTGGTTCCAGAGGAGTGAAGAATACTTTTGTTCTCCTAGTGGAATTGGGGTGGACTACAGATGTCAAATGTTGCATGTATAGTCAGATATGATATTGGACAATGTTTCACTTAACTATTTTGGTTTGTATATACAAGGGAAGGTTCTAGGGAAGTGATAGTGGTGTAAAAGCATCCATAAACATTTTATTAAAGGAAAGCTGACCTTCCATTCCCCTATTTCCCAATAGGTTGGCTAATCTGTTCTAAATAACTGATAGGATCAGGAACAGAACCCAGGAGTCCTGGATCCCAATGTCTTTATCTCTCCCCCAAGGGAACATCCATCCCTCTAAGTCTCAAGAGCTTTCTAAAAAGGCAGTGATGCGTAAACCTAAAGAAAGTTGTTAGAAATGAAAAAAAAAATCGCCACAAGGGAATTAATAACTAGCAAAAAACAAAACAAAACAAAACAAAACCCAAAACAACACATTAAAAAAGATAACTCTATGGACAAATTCTGTTCCAAAGGTCAGATCCTAAGGCTAGAACTCTCTGGCTACAAAAAAGTAAAAACTGCCTGGGATCTTGACTCTGGTCCTGTTCTGTTTCTGGCTGCACTGCATTCAGAGTCTGCCCAATAAGGATGGGTAGATGTGATTTTCAAAGCCCCTTACAGGAGTTAGCATTTATATAGTCAGGTCAGAAAAAATAAATACTCACGCTATTGTTGCTTCCTTTGTTGTCCTCATACTTGGTTTCTATATGAATGGAGAATTTTGGCAAAAATGAGCACTGCAAAAGAGAAAATTTCCATTAGTTAAAGGCTATCATCCACCCATATGTTTAATATATCATATTGGCTACCGACCTAACTATTTGGTCTGCAGCAAGAGAAGTAATATAAAACAAATAGTAGCCCAAATTAAGGCATCTACAATACAGTGACCCACCCCAATTCCAAAGAACTCATGATTAAACATGCTAACCAACTCCAGATAGAGAAATGATGAACTAAAGTACATATGGAAGCATATTTTTTTCTCCTTCTTGCTTTATTTTTCAGTGGGGGAAAGAACATAGCTGGTGATGAAATGTTTTATATGACTACTAAGTATTATCTTCTTTGCTTTCTTATTGATTGGGGAAGGGGTAGAAGAACAGAGGGTACTGGAAAAAAAGGATTAAAAAAGTTAAAAAAAAAAAAAGCATTGAAGTTTTAGAAATGAGGTTTTCTTATGACCAGAAAGAAATTACTTTATGATCTAGACTGTCCGAGCATCCCATGAAACTATATGGGGAATAAGTTGTAATCCACTGTAAAATAAGGGTTTTAAAAAAACTCACAAAAAAAAAGAGACAAAAAACAAATTCAAGGCATCTAGTCTCCTCCCCCTGCCCCTACCATATTACAGGTAAAGAAACTAAAGCCCAAATAGTTTAAGTGACTGGCTCATAATCACACTGGTACTAAGTGGAAGATCTAGGGTTCAAGCCCAGGTCTTCTGCACAAAGCATGAGAGAGATCTGTCAAACCCTGTAGCTTCTGGAAAAGGTCCAACTTTAGGATCAATGACCTCATTTAAGCTGAGCATAGAAAGAGCTACTAACTCAAGGCCAGCACTTGAGACAATTCGTGAGAAGAGCCAGAACTTTGTATCTGGGGCAAATGCATTTTCCAAATCAAATAAGCTTTGTTGTATACACACTCCATTTTATTGTTTTTTTGGGTTTGTTTTTTTTTTTTACAAGTTGACCTATAGAAAATGGAAGCTATTCCTGGGCTGTCTGCCCCTGGATGGTAACTTCTGGATTCCTCAAGCCACAGATCCAGTTCTGGGCATGAGGTTCAATTAATCTCTTGGGCAAAATGTCATCTCCTTAATATGCTGAATTGACAACAGGAGGCAACTCATTTATGTACATCTTCAGGACAATCCTAGGCAGTTTCATTCATTTTATTCCATAGACGTTAAGAGCTAAGGTATCTTGAGAACAATTTCTTGACTCACATTGGTAAAGCCTCTCTCTGGCTGGCACTGAGCTTAGCCTTAACTCTCTGGGTCAATGAAGTGATACTTTACCAGAGATGTGTTTGCAGTTTTCTCAAGGGGAAAAAAAATGCCCTTAGAAAATGCTGCAGATGCAAGAGAAAGTAGGAAAGAATTGGAATAATTAAAATCCTAAGAGGTTGGGACAATTTTAAGTAAAAGTAGGTGAGGCATCTTAAATGGCTCCCAATGTCTGAGAAGACAGCTTCACCCTCGATTACTCATTTCTAAGGGATTATCACTGCATTCCCTCCCGAACTATGATGTCAGTGTCCTTGGACATGCTATTAATATTCTTCCTGATACCACATGCGTATGCACATTTCTGCATTCATCTCCCTTAATCTAAGTAAAATAAACTGTGCCAAAGAAAACACAAAAACAATTAATCCTAATAATTGTGTTTATGAAGAATGATACACTGCAATTATCCATTAACCTCTTCATTGCTGCCTCATGCCAAATATGTCATACATTTAAGACAGTTCTCAGTAGCTACTTAGCTTAGCTTACCCACAACTTCATGGAGTTTTGAAGTAAAAAGACAAGAAATGACTTCTTGAGTCACTGAACAAAATAGGGCATCTCAGAGTACCACAGTGATGCTTTACTGTTAGAGGGACTCAGGTAGTTGCACCTGTTGAGAAACCCTGTTAAAAGCTTTTAACGAGATAGTGTTTTCTTATCTATAATTCACGTCAGAGAGGCTGCATGGAATAGTGGATAAAGGGCCAGGAGTGGAGGCAGGAAGAACTGGTCAAGTCCCATTTATATTAGCTGAGGTCTGACCCTGAGAAGTTATGGGAATTGCTTATGGTAACAGAGGGACTGGGTCTCTATTCAAAGGCTCTTCTGAGTTTGTAGAACCAGGCCTAAAGAAGCCAATATCACTCTTGCGTGCCATGGCAAGCCACTAGAATAAGATTTTAGAGGAGATGGAATTAAAGAAATAAACAAAAAAATCCAGACTGCCTGCCCAAGAAGGGTTTTGAATTTTCAGATATCTACATACCTCTCCTCCTTTTTGTGGCTAAATTCCTTGAGAAGGCCATCTACATCTAGTGCCTTTCCTTCCCGCCCTCTTAATTCCGCAATCTGGCTTCTAACTTCATCACTCAACTGAAATTGCTCTCTACAAAGTTACCGATGATCTCTTGATTGCCAAATCTAATGACTTCTTCTCAAATCCTCATCTTTCCTGACCTCTCTGCTGCCTTCAATACTGTCAATCACTCTCTTCTTCAGGATATTCGCCTCACTCTTCTTTCTAGGTTTTGGGGATACTGCTTTCTCCTGTTTCTTCTCCTATCTGACTGTCAGTCTCCTTAACCAGATTTTCATTCAGGTCATGCCCAGTATCACTGCAGGTGTCTCTCAAGGCTTTGTCCTGTACTGTCTCTTCTCCCACTAAACAATTTTATTGGTGATCTCCTCAGGAATGTCTCCAAAGGCTTTGTCCGAGACCTTCTTCACTTCTCCTTCTACACTATTTTAGTTGATGATCTCACCAGCTTCCACAGATTCAATTATCTGTGCAGATGATTTGTCAAATTTAAGTTATTCAACCTTGCCCTCTCTCGTAACCTCCAATCTCACATGTCCAACTGCCACTTGGATATCTCAAACTGGATGAAGACATCTTAAGCTCAATATGTCCAAAATTGAATCCATTATCTTTCCCCGCAAGCCCTCCCCTCTTCCTAACTCACCTATTACTGTCAAGGACTGCAATGGGAAGCCATTCTTTGCTTCATTTCTCACCTAGCCTTAATCACTGAGTGGGCGTTGCCTTAGTCAAACTGAGTCCTGGGAAAGACCCTAGTTTAAAAAGACCAAGGTCTCCAACTGTATCCAGGCCCTTCTCCAGTCATCCTGATCTATATCTTGCCACTGGATCCAGATGGCTCTGGAGGAGAAAGTGAAGCTGATGTCTCTGCACAGCTCTCCCTCACTTAATTTCAATTCATGTCAAGCCTTGCATGTCATGGTATCACCTCCATGATGTCATGGTCCTCTTTGGGAATGAAGGACAAACAAACAACTGTCAAGGGTACCACAATACTTTCAGGAACCCAGGTTCACAAACTAGGTATCCACCAATAGCCAATCAATTGCCAACTCCTATCTTTTCTACCTTTTCTAACATCTCTCATATATATGCCCTCTTCTTTCCTCTGACATTGTCCCTAACCTTGTTTGCACCCTCATTACTTCACCCTTAGACTACTTCAACAGCTTTCTGGTTGGTCTCCCTGCTTCAAGTCTCTTTCCACCTTAGTCCATTCTCTATTATCAATCAAGGATCTTTCTAAAGTGCAGGTCTTATGATATCATACCCTGACTCACACTCAATAAACTTCACTGGTTCCCCACTTTTTCTAGGATCAAATACAAAACATATAAAATCTTGAGTTGCAATTTTAAAGACCTTCATAACCTGGTAAGTTGCTACCTTTCCAGTCTTCTTTGGCCTTATTCCCCTCTATGTATTCTGTGATCCAGTGACACTGGCCTCCTTACTGCTCCTCATTTCTCAACACTGAATTTGCACTGGCTACCCCTCACGCCTGGCCTTACCAGCACCTCCTAACTTCCTTCAAGTCTCAGCTAAAACCCCATCTTATTCAAGGAACTTTTCTTGGTCTTTCCTTAATGTTAGCGCTTTCTCTCTGAGACTATCTCCAACTTACTCGGTATATCTTGTTTGCGCATAATTGTGTGTTATCTCTTCCATTAGATTGTGAGCTCCTTGGGAGCAGGGATTGTTTTAGGCCTTTTTTTGCCTTTCTTCCCTAGTGCCTGGCACACAGTAAGTGCTTAATGAATGTTTACAGATTTGGGTTGTTTTTTGTTTTGTTTTTTTGATGCACAGTGACTCAAAGACCATCTAATAAGACTGATGGATTGTAAAATGTTGATGGCTTGGGTTCCTTATTATAAAATGAAGGGGTTGGATTAGAAGACCTCTAAGGTCCCTTCCAGCTCTAAATAGATGACCCTGTGAATGGAGAAATTCAGTCTATGGGCTGACAAGTTGTTTAGTGGGTATTTGCAAGGTGGTGATGAGGCAGTACAGTATGACTCTTAGCAGCACCAGCTGTAGGCATTAGCAGGAATGACAGGCAAGGAAGCCTGACTGGCTCTTTCCAGGGCACTGGGATGATGGCCAAGTCACAGAACAGATTCGAGGCTCCTTCAGACTTGCTTACTCTGACTCACCAACCTGCTCTGCTGGCGGAGGAAATTTGCACAATATGACATGTGACAGGAGACAATCCTTCTGCTTTTCTCTGTTTTCTAAATGACTGTATTCCTTTATTATGTAAGGACACTCCTTACTCATTCCCTTTACCTGCCCTCCCAGCTTCCCACAGGCCAATACTGTACAAGGAAATCTGAGAACTCTGGGAATTCTGTGGCCTTTGCCCCTTTAGGAGCCTAAGATTTTCACTCAGTCTCATTAAAGAAACTGAGGAACAATTTTAGTTAAGTGACCTCCCAGCAAAATGAGTGACTAAGTACAACTTCACTCATTTCCCAGTTCTGACGTCACCACCATGATCCCATAGAAGATCAATCTTACCTCATTTCCCCCTCCTCCAAGGAAGTGCTCAGGCCAACCAGGCTTACTTACTCTTTCACCCCTCTCCAGGCTCTTGTACCTGATTCCACCATCTCCCTCCATTTTCCCTTTTCAGCTCCTTTTTATATTAGAATGTAAACTCCATGAGGGCAGGGACCATC